GGTGCAGGGCATTAGGCAGAGGTTCCTTCCTGTGGCAGTCCCGCCCACCTAGGTTTAGTAAACAAACTCTCCATAGGCCATGGACTCAGGTCTAAAAACTCTGCAACCTCTGCCTTTTGGTCTCCTCATACCTCATTATGGTATAATCCCAATCTAGCCGAGTTTGAGTGTATACCTGACCCCTCTGTGTGGGCAGTAAAAGGTAATAAATATCTGGACAACATATGTGGTAGGGGGTCACTGATTACCTTTGATTAAAATCACAATTTGCCCTCTCCAACTCCCACTTTTTTTAGGTTTCTCCAGATCCACCTTGCCTTCCACTCTCAGTTTGGCACAGAACCAATTAATTTATTGCGTGATGACATAGAATCCCTCATTTGGGACTTCTCTCTTAACATCTACAAGGTGTTATTACCCACTATACATACGAATCTAGATTCCCTGCAAGCGAAATGGAGAGCGGAAGTTGTAGAACTGGATTTTGAAGATTGGGAGAACGTTTGGAACTATCCCCTCTCTCAATTAGTGGCAACTAGAGATAGGTTAATCCAGTTTAAAATATTACATATAAATATATTTAACTCCAGCCAGGCTTCACAGAATATACCCTGCAGTATCTCCTTATTGCTGGCGCTGTGGGGATCCCACGACAGAATTTCTGCACATATTTTGGCACTACTCGCAAATACTCTGTCCTTTTTGGGCACAAGTCCTGGGCTTCCTACATTCTGTGACCGCCATTACTATTCCCCAAACAGTAATATCTGCGTAGTAGGATTAGTCAATGCTCTGGCTAATACTAGATTGAGCACCCTCCCTCTTTGAATCAATGGAAGGCACTTGCCAACTCTGTTATACCTTTAAAAAAAGTTAACATACCTACCTAGGGGATGCCCTAAAAAATGTCACAGAATTTGCAATATATGGCTCGAGTCCTCTTCTATGAATAATGGAGACACCTCATAAGGGGAAATAATGAATGATAGCCTAAGGGTAAGGGAAGGGGTAGGAGATTCAACAATTTTAAACACATCTATATCTAAACAGCTGAACACACTACATATAGGGAAGGTTTGTTTATGTTTGCCTTTCCCAGAAACCCCCCCAATTACTGCCAGAAGGTGTCTACTCCAACACAGATGCCTTCTCTTGATCACTTTACTTATTTTGACTGGTACTGCTACTTGGTAGCAATATTCTGGTTAAGAAGATGTTGGGCACTTGTTTTCTTACGGTTTTGTTGTTTTTTGTTGTGAAGCTTTGACTGTCTTAAGTCTGAGCCGGGGAATGCCCAGAGGCTCTGTTTTGTAATTCTTTTCTATAAAACAAATGAATAGCATCTTAAAAAATAAATAAATAAATATTCCTCCTTCAACAGCATGCCATAATATAGCCATTTGCCTTAAGATGTATTTCCCTTTAAGAGGAAAAGTTAAGTATGTACAAACAGAACCTTAAAATGTCTTCATGAAACAAATGCAATTAGATCTTTAGAGGCAGCACTATTTGGAGTTTCAATAGAAATGATGTGGCTTATTAGATATTCAGTCAAATGTATCGTGTATGCAGAAACTTTCTTTCCTGTATAATCTTCTTTGTGAGAAAGGTTCAATCACCCTTTAAGTAACTGCTGAACCAAATGGGAATGTCATGAAAAAATAATGAATGTGTACCCTTAGGAAATTAAAATCTGCAAGTAATCTATTCTTCTGTTTAAATAATGGTGGTATGATAATTACTTTGCAAACAAATATTTTAAGTAGGATATCTGCTGGGCTAGTTGCATTCTGTTACATGATTCTCAGATAGTTTAGATTTACATTAACATAAACTGGTCATGTAAAAACAATTACATATTCTTTCGTAGCCATTTCACATTTTAAGTCAGAAAAATATCCCAAACCTGACACCACTGTTTGAAAATGTAAAAACCACAATGCACAGATCACATCGATCTAATTCAGAGGAGACAAAATATGAAGATAGAAGACATTAAAAACTGTTTGCGCTTGACTTATCTAATGGGGGCAAGTGCTTACCATTCTGTTTATGAATTCATCCTTTTAAATGTTTTAGCTATGATTGACATTATAACAAATAACAGTTTTTTCTGGAAGCAGACTTTCTTTTTATTTTTTTTTTTATAAACATTCATCTTGATCTCCATACAGATATAAAACATACCGTTTAATGCAGTTCTCTATTCATTATACATTATTACATTTATTTTTTTTTATAAATGTAAGCAGTGCAAGTACCTGACTTTGATTTGCTATCATCCTCTTGCAATCCATATACAGCAGAGCTCAGATTGAGAGAGGAAGAAACAGCATATGAATCCAGTCAGTTGTGCTGCAGTGCTCATGTAGTTACAAATTATGCTCATAGATGAAGAGAGTAGAATGACAGGGAGAAGAGCTCATCAGCTATAAATAAGTGATCAACAAATATATATATATAAATAAATAAATTAATATATGAAAAATTAACAAATTATGACACCGTAAATAAGTCCCAGAATGAATATAATAGTCCCAAAAACAACAGACACAGTGAATCTTCAGCACAAGCCGTGAGACATCCAGTGGTCACTGCAAACAAACAACCCTCCACCAGCTAGTGTGCGCACTCACACTTCAGACTGTGACCCGCCAGGGGTTAAAAGGCATAAAACACTCAAACAATGATCTCAATAAGAGTTGACTTCAGTAGTAAACAAACACGGACTCCTCTGTGGTGAAAATGGCAAGCACTCACAGGTGTAACTCAGATGCTCTCATAAGGATATGGCCATAGATCTCTTTCACCTCCAATATCCCCACTTGAAAGATTAAACAAGAAAACTTCCCACAGTGTAGTAAGTTAAAAGATTTATTGTAAAAAATACACAGTATCTGCACACATTAAAAATTAAAATCCGCAGACCCATACAGGCAAAAGCACTGCAACAAACTGCAGACTGCAGGTGTATGTGGTTGGGAGTACCAAGATGGCGGCTGCCGTCCGTACCGGAAATGACATCACCACGCTTCCGTCCTTCGCGTTATGTCACGAGTCACGTGACTTCATCAGGATTCACTTGTTTATCACTGATCATTTGATTACACTTTGTGGCTATGTGGATGATTTATTGTTTACAATAATTATTTTTGGCCAAGTTTTTACATTTTTTGCTGTTTTAGCACTTTTTTCATCTTTACATTTGGGGATGAGGTATATTTTATTTTTATTTTCAGCTTAATACTTCATTACATTTATATGTTTATTGTTTATTTATTTATGCACTGAGTAGTGCAGCACCAATCCATCATTCATTTTTTGTTTTCACTATTAGGAGTATAATTAGGTGTCTGCGGCCACTTGGTGAGGATTACAGCCATTTGGCAGCGCATGAGGATTGTTCCTTTTTTCCTTTCTAGCTCATCAGTTTGCTGCTTCTCTAATCAATATAAACTCACAACCTAGAAGAAAGGACAAGACCAGTTAATGTTACTTAGTTGCACATGAGAAAAATCAGGTCTCCAGCCAGGCCAGGCAGGGTTGGGTTGCTTGGCAGAGCTATGTAGATCTTAGGACTGGATGGACAAAAATATACATTCTACATTCAAAATATACAAAACATCCACTTACTCATTTCATCTGTGTGTTTAGCTATTTTAGTTTTTCACTATTTAGTTTAGCTTTAATTGTGTAAAAAGTGAATTACATTATTTTATGTTTTATGCATTGTGTCATATCAGTTTTTAGCAGTACTGAGCATAACGTATCAACATCCATGCTGACAAAGACATGGAGCTACAAAATACATATTTTTACAAAGGGATAGATAAGACAAGGTCTCTGCAATATGGCATGCACAGAATAAATGTATTATGTAGACAACTGACAAATTATGACATTTCTAAAGACAAATTATTCAGAGATTCAGTAATCACAGACTGTTCACAGAAATAGGTGCCAAATAATATAGCAAAGCCCATATAATTAGTATATTGGTTAAGAAACTATGAAAACCTAAAGCAAAAGTGTTGTGTTGCATTTTAAATACAGGGATATTTGGATATTAGTACTACCCTCAGTCGTAACAAATCATAGATGAGTATATATACTCAGGCAATGCAGCCTAAATACATAAGACCTAAACATATAAGAGCCACAGTTTATTGTATAATATTTAAAGTGGTAGTAAAGTCTGTTTTTGTACTTGAACCTACAGGTAAGCTTATAATAAGGCTCACCTGTAGGTTCTGTAAATATCTACTAAACGTCACTACTTAGGAGATATTTACTTGCATAGCAGGACTGGAGAATGCACTCTGAAGATATGGCATGCCTGTGCCATTCCTTCAGAGTTGTGTGCTGTAAAATGTGACTCCCGTGTACATGCATAAGAGTGACGTCATTGCGACTTGAATGGCTGAGCCACGAGGACGTAGCAACACTGGTGCATGTGCTCTGAAGGAATAGCATGCCTGCGCTGTTCCTTCAGAACTGTGTGCCGTGTGACTCCTGTGCGCATGCGTGGGAGTGACATAATTACGACTTTATTGGCCGAGCCACGATAACGTAGCAGCACTGGTGCATGCGCTTTGAAGGAATGGCACAAAAATGCTGTGTGCCATAAAAAGTGACTCCTGCATGCATGTGCGGTAATGACGTCATTGCGGCTTGGCCATTCAAGCTGCCTGAGCCCGAGAACCTGGAAGAAGTATCAAGTGAAAATGAAATCTCTGGCAGCACTGACAGTGCGTCAATGGAGGGCTTTGTTTTAAGGTAAATTACACATAATGTGCTAGTATGCAATGACATTGCCTTGCAAGGAAATTTTTTTAGAACTAGCAGGTCTAATACTGGTTTAACAACTATTATTATATTTAGATATTTTTTGTATTGATACATACCGGTAGTATAACATGCATGAAACACTAACATAACTAAAATGTATTATTAAACATTAATATTTTACTGCTTTGCTTTTTCCTTAATATTTTTTTTAGGAAAGTTACAGAGGAGGACAAACATCCCAACACACTCAAGAGTCAGAGAGCTCAGTGGATTCAGAGGAAGAATCTGTCTTCAGTCAGGTACTGAAGGCCCATTGTAATATGATGGGTGGGATGCCTATTATCCTGGGAGGACGTCACATGACGTCCTAACAGTAAAGCACCTCGCACATTTCCCACAGGCCACACTTTGGCACGATCTAAAATCTGCTATATACTGCTATTTGGGTGAATGCTGTTGCAGGGACAGGATGGAAATAGCAGAAAATGTTCTCAGTGATTGGTCCGCAATTGTACCGTGGAGTAAGTCTCATGCTCCTGCACATCCAGAATACTGTGTATTTCAATCAACTCCTGGTGCTGAATAGAGCTAGAGGTAAATTTAAGTTACTGGGAAGGGTCAATGCACATGATTGCTTGAAGAATCAGACTTCTGTAATATAATATTTATATACTGGTTAGTCATTCAATCACTATACATTGTATTTATTAATAGAGTGCAGAGAGCATTGATGTAATTAATCACCAGTCATAAGTTGGACAGAAATAAATTGCTAACTGCTGATTTATGATTAGATGTCTAACCTTTCCTAATGACTAAAGTCTGATATCTGTAAGTTCAAGATACTTATGTTTGTCATGGTTGTAAAATATTCAATAAAATCTATAATTTTGCAGCTATATACATCATAATCCATTATATATTTCCACTTATGGCAGTCTTTTTTGCTCTTGTAATACATCTATTCATTTTAGACAGTAGTCCATTTTTATCAATGGTGACTTTCCTTACCTTTTCCCCCTCAAGGGCTCTAGGTCTGGTGTAAGCTGCAGTTCTCGCAGTTACATGGTCTCTCATCAGGACTCTGAAAGCACTCGACAAGGCTCAGAGACAGACGATATGCTTTTGGATGACTTGCTGCATGGACCCCAGTGTCTATCATCCTGTGAGAGTGACACTGATGAGGACCTCTCCCAAAACTATGCAGGAGATAATAGGAGTTCTCCGTCAAAGAATGTCTTTCAGCTGGTGAGCAAAATGGCTTAGAATTTGCTATATTGATTTAGAAATATCAATGATTGTAAATATACTGTAGATGGTGACTCCCAAGCCAGAAAATTCATGAATTTGTTTTAAATAAATCTGCTTAGTATATTGTATTGTGTACTCAGCATACATTGATTATAAAAAGGAAGATGTTTTATGCTACACAAAGCTACAGGGTTCATCCATGCTTTGACGCAGGCATTAAAGTGGGTACATGGTTTTTAGACATGATGGGCTTCATTAGGGGTTTACTAAAACTAGAGAACTCAGAATCTTGTGCAGCTGTGCATGTCAGCTTCTAACTTCAGCTTGTTCAGATAAGCTTTGACAATAAAACCTGGAAGCTGATTGGTTTCACCAGATTTAGCATTCTCTAGTTTTAGTAAATCTTCCCCATTGTATTTTTAAATAATTGTATGTACTTAAATGGTGAAACACGGGTGAGCTCTCGAAGTGCAGCTGTACCAACACACTCCAATGCAATGAATTGGCATGAAGGATCCATACATTTTCCCTGTAATGGAAAATATATCATATCGCATGACAACACACCCAATGTAAAGGCCAACTGCCCATCATTTACAGGGATACACCATGAGACCGTATATTTATCCCTGGTTTTCAGGAACACACCTAACTTAAAGTAGAATTTTACCCAAAAGGGGAATTTCCACTCTTCCTCCTCCTCCCACCCTCCTCTTTAACTTTTCTTACATAATTTTTTTTGGAGGTGATCCCCTTTCCCTGCAGCTTTCTGGGACACATCACAGGTCCTAAAAAGCTACAGGACCATTCACAAAGCACAGACGGCTCACATATTCTCAGTGAGCAGTTGGCTGTGAAGCTACAAGTTAATATGTCAGTGCCGGGGACCAAAGACTGGTAAAGAAATTGGCCCAGGTGAGGACAGCGCTGAATCCTGGGATAGGTGAGTGTCTATTTATAAATGTTTTTGTGGCTTCTGACATTTTCCACAAGTCGCTAAAGAACTGCTTTAACCTAAAATCCTTCCTTTTCTGTGTGATAGATTGTATTCGCTTCATAGGTTAATTTCCCTAGACATTTTAATCTATTACTCAATGAAAACTAGCATTTATAAGGCAAAAATGATTCCAATTTTATTTGAACAAACTTCATAGAAAGTATATTGTCCCAATATCCTCAAAGGCTATATTTTTCAAAACTTGTTTACTTATGTTGACTCATTGGTAATAGATCTTTGGAAAGTCTTATAAAGTTACACTCCTGTCCAAATGAAAGAAAAGCAAAATGCAAAGATAAAACATTTATTTAACTTGTCTATAACTCTCTGCTATAGTGTGCTGCTAGTTTAATTTTTTCTGCTTTTTCTTTATTGCCTATAAAGTGGAACTGAACTGAAAAAGGGAAAAATTGTTGTAGGAATTATCTGGAAATATTATTACGCCTAAACAGTACCCCAAGAACGTACCTTTTTGTCTGTAAAGTTTTCCTGAAAAATAGCAGTGCATTTTCTGGTAGGTGTGTGTGCCTAGACCAGGGGTGGGCAAACTTTTTGACTTGAGGGCCGCAATGGGTTCATATATTGGACCCGGGGGCCGGACCAAGAGTAGATGAATGATGTGTATGTGTCATCCATAGTAAGTATAGTAATATTCCCCCATAGTAGGCATAGTAATTAATCCCCCATAGTAATTCATCCCCCATATAGTAATTCATCCCCCATATAGTAATTCATCCCCCATAGTAATTCATCCCCCATATAGCAATTCATCCCCCATATAGTAATTTATCCCCCATAGTAATTCATCCCCCATATAGTAATTCATCCCCCATAGTAATTCATCCCCCATATAGTAATTCATCCCCCATATAGTAATTTATCCCCCATAGTAATTCATCCCCCATATAGTAATTCATCCCCCATATAGTAATTCATCCCCCATATAGTAATTCATCCCCCCTATAGTAATTCATCCCCCATAGTAATTCATCCCCCATATAGTAATTCATTCCCCATATTAAGTCCCCAAGTCCCCCCTGTGTCAATTCACTTACCTTTGCTCCGCGCGTTCCTCTCGCCGTGTTCCCGCACCGTTCCGGTGTAGCATGAAAACCTGTCTCCTATGAGGATCTGTCCCCCTCAACGTATCTGCGCATGTGCCAGTTTCAGGCATTAGCAGCCGATCGGCGATCTCCGGCACATGCGCAGATACGTCGAGGGGGACAGATCCTCATAGGAGACAGATTTTCATGCTACACCGGTCTTCAGGGCGGACTGTGAGAGGAGCCTAGCGGGAGCCTAGCTCCGCGGGCCGGATTAAAAGGTCCGCTGGGCCGTATACGGCCCGCGGGCCGTAGTTTGCCCATTGCTGGCCTAGACACTTCTCTACTTTTAGCCTCATAGCTGTATATTTGCAATCTGAAATCCAAGGCACTGCTGCCTCTATTTGCTTGTCTCAGAAGAATTGTAACAAGGTCTAGTGATGTCACTTATGTGCTGTGCACTGTTCTCCTTCCTGGAGGCTCTGACATGAGGAAGTATTGCCCTGCCTCTACCAAAATGGCACCTACACATAGAGAGCAGTACAAGGCATCAAAAATAAGTAATAGAGGTCTTTTGCCTGCCTTCATTTCAGTACAGCTTCAAGAGTTCAATTCCTCTTTAAAATAACTTTTAAGGCAGTGCTACCCAGAGAAAGCTTCCCCCTTAAAAACAGCATTCATATTACAGTATCATGATTAATGACAGCTATTTGTACTGTAAAGGCACATAGCTCAATATAAAAATAGGTTTAGTTCATAGGGGAGCAACTCCTTGTGCCGAAATACTTAGAAATCACGAATGATACTATTAGAATTTCAAGTAGCTGCTTTTTCTCCTTGGAAAATTGCAGTTTGTGGTGTCGTCTTTTTATCTATAGAACCATCTGTTTTGGCTACAAGGTACAAGCCCCACTTCTGAGAGAGTCAGTGCAATTATATGGGAGAAGAATGAGTGTAAGAAAGCTGACATGTCTGTTCTGGATATCAGTGGGATCATCATGAAACAAGTGAGTATCTGAAACAATCTGTATGTATTCAATTATGTGGCTTTTTTACGTGTATAGGCTTGAGTGGTCATAAATATTTCTTGTGTCCTTTTCTGTTAAAGAAAATATTGTGTAACAGGCTGAATGGAAAAATTGTATATCAATAACAAAAATGTTTTAAAGTAAACCTGTCAAAAATGTAATTAGCCTGTATTTAGGGCCGGTGCTAGACTATTTTGCATCCTAGGCAAGACCACCCCCCAAAAAAATAAAATAAATACATTTAAAAACAGTAGAAAATATTAAATCAACAAAACATGAAATTGCTAAATTTCTTTTTATTTGCAAAAATAAGTGCCATAAGATGCCACCAGCACCAATATTAAAGGCAAAATATACACTATATTACCAAAAGTATTGGGACACCCCTCCAAATCATTGGATTCAGGTGTTCCAATCACCTCCATGGCCACAGGAGTATAAAATCAAGCACCTATGCATACAGACTGCTTCTATGAAAAGGAGCTCAGTGAATTCAAGCGTGGTAGCGTGATAGGTTGCCACCTGTGCAATAAGTCCATCCGTGACAATTCCTTGCTACTAAATATTCCATGGGCAACTGTTAGTGGTATTATAACAAAATGGAAGCAACTGGGCACAACAACAATGAAGTAGGCCACGTAAAATGACAGAGCATGGTCAGCGCATGCTGAAGCGTACAGTGCGCAGCAGTCGCCAACTGGCTGCAGAGTCAATAGCTAAAGACCTCCAAACTTCGTGTGGCCTTCAAATTAGCACAACAGTGCATAGAGAGCTTCATGGAATGGGATGGGTTTCCATGGTCGAGTAGCTGCATCCAAGCCTTACATCACCAAGTGCAATGCAAAGCATTGGATGCAGTGGTGTAAAGCATGCATTGTGCCAAGTGCAAAGTTTGGTGGAGGGGGGGTTGTGGTTTGGGGTTGTTTCTGAGGGGTTGGGCTTGGCCCCTTAGTTCCAGTGAAGGGAACTTTTAAGGCACCAGCCTACCAAGACATTTTGGACAATTTCATGCTCTCAACTTTGTGGGAAGTGTTTGGGGATAGCCTCTTCCTGTTACAACATGACTGGGCACCAATGCACAAAGCAAGGTCCATATAGACATGGATGAGCGAGTTTGGGGTGGAGGAACTTGACTGGCCTGCACAGAGTCCTGACCTCAACCCAGTCCCAAACACCTTTGGGATGAATTAGAGCAGAGAATGCAAGCCAGGCCTTCTCGTCCGACATCAATGCCCAACCTCGCAAATGCTCCTGGAAGTATGGTCAAACATTCCCATAGACACACTCCTAAACCTTGTGGACAGCCTTCCCAGATGTGTTGAAGCTGTTATAGCTGCAAAGGGTGGGCCTACTCAATATTGAACCCTGCGGACTAAGACTGGGATGCCATTAAAGTTCATGTGCATGTAAAGCAGATGTCCCAATACATTTAGCAATATAGAGTATATTAACCTAATATAAATAAACTGCATTAACCAATCAGAGAAACAAAAAAAAGACAGTTACAAAATTCCACAGTGATCAGCAGCCAGCAGCTGGCTTACAGTAAGGGACTGAATCTGAGAAGAACACTGGAAAGAGTGGCAGCTCAGCTGCTATACTGGCCCCAGACACCCAGCATCTTCCTCGCTCTTTTTTTCCTCCCCCTCTACCACGCCTCCCCTCAGCTGAAACGTCATTCATGTTGTGGCGGCATCCCAGATAATTAATCAGCATCTGCTCCCCTCACCCCAACCATTGTCTGCCCCCCTCCTCCTCTTGTCACCTCTATGACCCACCATTCTCCTGGGCTCGGCTCACCTCTGATGGCTCCTGCTGGGGTGCGGAGTCCAGGCTGTCACTCTCAGCGAGTATAGTTCCAGAACTATACCGCTTCCCTCTCATACACATTGGGCCCTGATCACCCTTCTCACATAAGGTTAACCCTGCAACCAGAGCACAACCCCGTCTATTGATTGGCTTCAGCTGTGTAAAGAAGGTGGAGCCAGTGCTGGAAAAGCCCCATTCGGTCACTAGCTGACTCCCTATAACAGTTGGAGGAACGTGTGTGCCAATGTGTGTACCGGAGATGTACGGACCGGATCAGAGACTGCTCACCACCCTGAGCTACTGTCATCACTTCCCATCCAAGGGGAGCTGACACATCACTGCTACATGGAATACTGATATATATATATATATATATATATATACAGTATATATATATATATATAAAAGGAACACTTAGAAAACACATCAGATCTCAATGGAGAAAGCTATCGTGCTGGATATCTATACTGATATGGACTGGGTAATGTGTTAGGATGCAAGGATGATCCATCGTTTGGTGGAAATGAAAATTATCACCCTACAGGGGACAAAATTCAAAGACACCCCAAGATCAAAGTGGAAAAATGATGCAGCAGGCTAGTCCATTTTGCTGAAATTTCAGTGCAGCAACTCAGAATGGTACTCAGTAGTTTGTATGGCCCCCACATGCTTGTATGCATGCCTGACAATGTCAGGGCATGCTCCTAATGAAATGAAGAATGGTGTCCTGGGGTCCCAGATCTGGACCAGGGCATCAATGAGCTCCTGGACAGTCTGAGGTGCAACCTGGGGGTGTCGGATTTACCGAAACATGATATCCCAGAGGTTTTCTATTGGATTTAGGTCAGGCGAGCATGAGGGCCATTCAATGGTATCAATTCCTTCATCCTCCAGGAACTGCCTGCATACTCTTGCTATATGAGGCTGGGCACTGTCTTGCACCAGGAGGAACACAGGACCCACTGCACCAGCGTAGGGTCTGACAATGGGTCCAAGGATTTCATCCCGATACCTAATGGCACTCAGGGTGCCATTGTCTAGCCTGTAGAGGTCTGTGCGTCCCTCCATGGATATGCCTCCCCAGACCATCACTGACCCACCACCAAAATGGTCAATGACAAATGCCTATTGAGCTCTATGGTGCCGGGCAGTGAGCACAGGGCCCACTAGAGGATTCCGGGCACTCAGGCCACCCTCATGAAGTCTGTTTCTGATTGTTGGGTCAGAGACATTCACACCAGTGGCCTGCTGGAGGTCATTTTGTAGGGCTCTGGCAGTGCTCATCCTGTTCCTCCGTGCACAAAGGAGCAGATACCAGTCCTGCTGATGAGTTAAGGACCTTCTGTGGCCCAGTCCAGCTCTCCTAGAGTAACTTCCTGTCTCCTGGAATCTCTTCCATGCTCTTGAGACTGTGCTGGGAGACACAGAAAACCTTCTGGCAATGGCACATATTGATGTGACATCCTGGAGTAGTTGGACTGCCTGTTGCAACCTCTGTAGGGTCCAGGTATAGCCTCATGCTACCAGTAGTGACACTGACCCTAGCCAAATGAAAAAGAAGAGTAGGCAAGAAAAATGTCAGTGGCCTCCACCTGTAAAATCATTCCTGTTTTGGGGTTGTCTCATTGCCCTCTAGTGCACCTGTTGTTAATTTCATTAACACCAAAGCAGTTGGAACTGATTAACAACCCCCTCTGCTACTTAACTGACCAGTAAATGGTCATGTGTGTAGACTAGTAAAGATTCCATCATTCCCTCATCATTTCCTGTGTATGAGGAGAGGGGGACTCTGCAGAGAAATTAAGAATTCATACAAGAGGTCCATAGGCCACACAGAGAGTGCTGACCTGTGCTGTGCCCAGGCACCCCTAGGTGGCAGTGCGCCCTAGGCGGCTGCCTAGTTTGCCCAGTGGAAGCACCGTCCCTGCGTGTATTTTTATCTGCCTGTTATACTTTCTTTACTGACCCAGAACAAGTATGAAGAATTAGATAGTGTAAGAAAATTAACCTCCCTATGATTATTTCAGATTTTTGGTGCTGAAAGCGGTACCATTATTTTGCATGGAAATATGTCGTTTTTTTATTGTAGGCTGTAATTTTTAGGAATAACTCACTGAAATCTGTCCGAACAAGAGTCTAGTAAACATCCTGGGTATGATAAACACGAAATCATAAATTATAATTTAATAAATAATCATAAAAAATAATAATATAATAATAATAAATTTAATTCACAAATATCAAACCAAAAACACTGAAATTTGAAATTGAGCGCCAAGTTTGCACATTGCTGAGCAAAGTCGCAAAATCGTTTTCAGTGTCTGATGACGAATTTCCCCACGAATCATTATCACTCAATTCTGCAAGTGGTTCTGATTTACTATCGCTGTTCTCTAGCTGATCTAAACCCGCTTTTGACCTAAAGGGACACTTTTTGGATGCCATGGACTTTTCTCAGTTTCCAGGCAGAAAGAACAGACAAAATGCAGACAGGGGACAGGACAAAGCACTAGGAACAAATTGTATGTGAAATGGGTTGAAACAGCAATGTTTTACTATGTAAAATTTGTTTTGAAAAAAATGACATTTTTTAAAATTTTCAAATTTCCCGCCGCCGGTGGCGCCCGTACATCCCGACGTCACAGGGACCGGAACACAGAAGCCGGATGCCGGCATCGGCCGGAGGAGATGGCCGGGGATGCTACAGGGGACACATCGCGGGAGCGAAGGACAAGGTAAGTGCTGGAGGGACTCCCGATGCAGCGCCGCATGGTAAGCCTGAGTGTAGCTCGGGGTTACCGCTTTTGGTACTGACACTCGGGAATACCGCTAGGGAGGTTAAAGCTTCTGACTTGTGTATTTGATGCAGAATGTAAGAGTCAGAATAACCATGGACGTAGCATCAGGGGTCTCAGGGGTCACAATTGTGACCCCGCTCATGCTCCAAGTAGACCTATGCAGTCTTCCTGTCACTATGGTAGGCAAAGTGGACTCCAGAGGCTCTGAAATTTTGGCTCCATTTTCAAGTCCTGAGCTGGAGAGTATTAGAGGAAGGATGGGGTAAGGCCAGCCCTTCTGGATGGGAAAGTGTCAGTGCTGACAACCAGGCAGGGATGGACATCGAGCTGTCATTGGGCTCTGCAAGGGATAAGGAGGAGAGCATCGTCCAGGAGCTGGTACTGCTGTCATTGGTGAGGTAAAAGGTGCAAAGAACAGACACACATTGCCCCACCCCTCCCCACAACTCCTGCTCACACTCACATGAAAATTCTCACAAAATCCTGTAACACCTCCTGAGGGGCCCCCCGAGGGTCTGTGGACTCCAGAGGCTGCAGATTTTATTTTGACAGTTTGAGCAGGATGAGCAGAGGGGGAGCTGGATGGGGAATCTATCATTACCTGGTGGGGGGGAAGGGTCATCTGTCATTACCCGGGCAGCACAGTGGCTAAATGGTTAGCACTTCCGCCTGGCAGTACTAGGGTCATTGGTTTGAATCCCAACCACGGCACCTCCTGCCCAGAGTTTGCATGTTGTGCCTGTGTGGGTTTCCTCCGGGTACTCCGGTTTCCTCCCACACTCCAAAGACATGCTGGTAGGTGAATTGGCTCCTGTCTAAAATTGTCCCTAGTATGTAGGGACTGATATGAATGTACAATATATATATATATATATATATATATATATATGTAAAGCGCTGTGCAAATTGTCAGCACTATATAAGTACCTGAAATAATAATAATCATAATTACCTGGTGGGGGGAGGGGGTCACCTGTCATTACCTGGTGGGGGGAAGGGTCATCTGTCATTGCGTGGTGGGGTGAGGGGGTCACCTGTCATTACCTGGTGGGGGAAAGGGTCATCTGTCATTGCCTGGTGGGGGGAGGGGGTCATCTGTCATCACCTGGTTGGAGGACATGTGTCATTACCTGGAGGGGAAGTCATCTGTCTTTACAGGAGGAGGGGATCATCTCTGATTAGTGGGGGCTCTTGAATGAGGGGTCATCTGTCAATACCAAGAGGAGGCAGGAGGGCATGTGTTATTATCAGAAAGGGGGGTGTTACTTTTCCCTTATATCCTGCACCTGCATATCGCTGCAGCCTGGCCATGACAGAGGCAACTGGGTGCTGTTTAACCCCCCTGGCGGTATTCCCGAGTGTAGCTCGGGGTAAAGTTTCAGTTCCACAAGCAGTAACCCTGAGGTACACTCGGGAATACCATGCAGCGCTGCTCCGGGATCCCTCGATCACTTACCTTGTCCTGCGCTCGCGCGCAATGTCCCTCCTGCAGTGTATCCAGCAATGTAATCCGGAGGATGCCGGCATCTGCGATCTGGATTCCGTCCCCTGCGAGCGTCGGGATGTACGAGGGGAGGAACGGCGGGAAATTTGAAAATGACAAAAAGTGACATTCACTAAATACACTAAAATCGAATAGTAAAATTACTGTATCAAACCATTTCACATACATTTTGTGCTTTGTCCTGTGCCCTGCCTGCATTTTTACTGTTTTTTCTGCCTGGAAACTGAGAAAAGTCCATGGCGTCCAAAAAGCGTCCCTTTAGGTCAAAAGCGGTTTTAGACCAGCTAGAGAACAGCGATAGTAAATTAGAACCACTTGCAGAATTGAGTGATAATGATTCGTGGGGAAATTCGTCATCAGACACTGAAAACGATTTTGCGACTTTGCTCAGTGATGTGCGAACTTTGCGCTCAATTTCAAATTTCAGTGTTTTTGGTTTGATTATATTATTGAATTAAATTTATTATTATTATATTATTATTTTTTTATATTAATTATTTATTAAATTATAATTAATGATTTCGTGTTTCAAGTTTTATCATACCCGGGATGTTTACTAGACTCTTGTTCGGACAGATTTTCAGTGAGTTATTCCTAAAAATTACAGGCCTGCAATAAAAAAAATACATATTTCCATGCAAAAAAATGTACCGCTTTGAGCACAGAAATATGGACATAATCAGACCGCTAAGGAGGTTAATAACATAGAAAAGAAAGGTGTTTTTTTTTTTAGAAAAAAGGTGTGATATCTGCAGTGGCACATTCTCTGATCAGCCCCCCACTCAGCCCAGTACAGTACTCCCCTCCCGGACAGGCAGGCCACACTGAGCTGCTGAGTGAAAGTGGTGGGCTTGTATGTGGATCTGGAAGTCAATGCCTGCTGAGTCTCCTCTTTTACATACAAACCTACCTTTTTCACCTGACCCCCCACCTTGTGGGCACATGCAGACAGCAGCAAAAGAGAGGAGATAGGCAGTCATCATACAGCTATCAATCTTGGCACGCGGTGGGAGCATCTTGGCGCACGATGGAGGTTAGTGGGGGGCCCCAGGTCAACTTTTGCTTCGGGGCCCACAAGCTTCAAGCTACACCTTTGAGAATAACATCCAGGTTGTTATCATTTTCAGGAGGTCAGTAATGGCAGCTTCCAAGTTCATCTTATGATATGTTTTCTTTTAATGAGAGCCTGTCACCAGCCTAAATATTGCAGTTATCACCAGAGAAAAAGCAAGTGTTTTAAATCTCACATTTGCAGTGTTTTCCCTTTTCAGAAGTGACTTTTTGTTCACTTGCACTGTGCTTTTGAACTTGATAGAAAGTCAATTCTCCCTCCTTCTGCCATAGCTGTCTTCTTTTTCTGAGCGTGTCTTATTACTCTCTGTGGTGACCCTGCTCCTCCACTCTCCCCTTTACCTCCCAACATAATCTTTTATGTAGTAGTCGGAATAAGAGAGAAGGGGAATGTAAAAGAGTTTCTTTCAGTGACAGCTATGAGTCGGCTAGGGCTGCTGACATCACATCTAAGATGGCGGCTACCATCAGCAGTCTTAGGGCTTCTGAATTTCTATACAAGGGAGGCTTTTACAGATATACATCTTGAATAAAGTACAGTAAATGCACACATAACCCTATGGGAAGATTTTTGATGAAATAAATGGTCTGGTGATAGGCTTCACTGTCTGCTGACATCACATATGGTCGGGATGTACCCAGGAGCCTGGGCTGCACCTGGTGAGCCGCTGAGAGCCTGAGCCAGCCACTCCTGCCCCTCCAAAGCCAAGCGCTCCAGTGAGTGCGGGGGGTTGGGTGCAGAGCAGACAGTGTTGACTGACAGCGATTCATTTCTCAGCCTTAGTGCCTGCAGGGGACAGATACAGCATCGGATCAATGCTGAATCCACTTAGGTAAGTATGATTTAAAGAAAAAGAATCCCATTCTTCTCTTTTAAAGTGTTATTAAACCCAGGACCCTGCATTCACTGTATCTGGTCTCCCACAGTACACAGAACATGAAAATGTTATTATTTCAGTAAATAGAAACTGCTAAATGTCTTTTTCTCATCAGCAGTATTTTGTGGTCTTGTGGCTTCTATCAGTGTCCAGTAGAGCACCGGTTAAAGCATGTAGGAGGAGTTTTCATTCTCCCCTGATTGTCCTATGAAGCTACAAAGCCCCTGAGCCTGTCTGGACAGTGTTGATTGGCCCTGTGATGAGCACATGCATTCTCTCAAGAAAAAAAAAACTCTAGCAATACACACAAAACAGAGCATGTGCAGTTTGCCCCCAAGGGTCTGTTCTATCAGCAGATGGATTGGGGACTATGGAAGAAGGGGGAGGATCAGAGAAGACAGGCTCAAACATCCTTTTTACACAATGCAGCGGATTAACCCCTTAGGTTCCACAGTGAGTTTAACAAGCATGCTTTACTGCATATACAGACTGATTTTACTGTTGTGGGTTCAGTAACACTTTAAGTAAAGCATTGAGTTTTTCTGTTTTTTATGACAATAAATATTGCAGTGCAAAACAGAAAAATTACAGAATAATATGTAAAAATCTTAATTTTTCTAATATTTTCTTAGAGATATGCAGTTTCTAGATCTGCCTACACTTTCAGCGTCACTACAGCCCATTATATAATTAGAACATGTTAATAATACTAGTAATAGTAATATTATGACTGATATTATTACTATTATGGGACAGCACAGCGGCTAAATGGTTAGAACTTCCGCCTGGCAGTACTAGGGTCGTTGGTTCAAATCTCAGCCATGGCACTACCTGCCTGGAGTTTGCATGCTCTCCCTGTGCCTACGTGGGTTTCCTCTGGGTACTCCGGTTTCCTCCCACACTCCAAAGACATGCTGGTAGGTTAATTGGCTTCTGTCTAAATTGGTCCTAATATGTGTATGTATGAATGTGAGTTAGGGACCTTAGATTGTACGCCCCTTGAGGGTTAGGGACTGATGTGAATGTACAATATATATGTAAAGTGCTGCGTAAATTGATGGCGCTATATAAGTACCTGAAATACATAAAAAATAATACTATTAATATCATTCGACTAATGTGTCTAAGCAACTTAGAAGGCAATTGGTAAACTGCAGTTATTACTGTTGCAGTATGTTGCACTACTTTATACTGGGTCTACTTTCTAGTATAGCCAAATAGTTATGTGAGCCCTGGTGCAGAAAATCTTGAATCCAGCTGGAGCAGAAATGTGAGAACATTGAGTTCAAGCATCTGATTGGTTATATTGATCATAAATGTGATAATACATCAGGGCTTTAAGTGGCACTGAGGAATTTATACAAGTTTCCTAAGAACTACATAATGAAGTGCTAAGCAATATGCAGCTAACAAAATGGCATCAATAAATAAGAGTGACTCAAACAAGTTATAGGTGATAAGTTGCGGAGCCATCTGCTTTTGTTATAGATTTATCATTTTCATTGTGAAAGTGACCTTCAAATACTCATCGCTGACATTCTACCTGGATGTTTGAAGCACCGATCACTGTGTAGGCAAAAGGTTAAAACAGTAATTATCACATTATTAAAAGGCATGGCAACCCAAATCCCTGGACTTGGCTTCCTTTGTCATGTTGATACCATCAGGATTTGTTTTAATTAATCGGCTCATCATGTTTAGCAGCTGCTCTTCATAACATTTGTATTTATATTGTAACTTTATTGTGACAAAATCACACAGTTATTAAGTTGTTTTGACACTGCAATATTCAGAATACAATTACAGCATTATTAAACTAACAAAATCGATGTCTACTTCCCTTGCACTTTTAAACGTGTTGTGTATTTGTGTTCAATCTGCGTTTATTAGGTTTTTTGCATAAGTAACAGGGAAAAAATACATTACAGAACTTCAGTAAAAAATGGAATTATGGCAGAAAATGTACAATCAAAGAAAACATTGGAATAAAGTAAAAATAAATAAACAAATCAAAATAAACATCATTGCAACTCCTGGGACTGGGTTTGGGCAGCATGCAGTATGAAATTGCAAGGCTACAAACATAAAGTGAGCAGGATACATAAATATAAACATGTGCATGAATCGTACATCATAGGCTAGCAAGGATAATGGTATCCTTCCCAACTTGTAAGGTGCCCTATGACATGGCAAGTCAAACAAGACAGGTGAGCAAAATATATGCCTGAGGGTCAGGGTCGGACTGACAACTCATGGGGTCCCCGGGCAATAGGGGATCATGGGGCCCCTATGTCCTTGCCCACACTCAAACCACACCCAAAAAAGCCTATGAAAGGTACCAGGGGCATGTCATGGGGTCCCCTACTGACCCGGGCCCTCGGGCAGTGCCCGAATGGACAGTCTGCCCCTGATGAGGGTTAATGGTGGGCGGAAGGGGGGGTAAGGAGTGTGTGGAAAGCGGAAGGGATGTAGGGAAAATGGGAGGGTTGTGGGGGGAGGGAAAGGGGGGCTTTGGGGTGGGTGAGATGGAAAAACAGAGGGGTTAGGGAACACTACCTGGTGGGCATACAGAGAAGGAATCTGCCAGTGAGAATGTGAAGACTTACCATTAATCAGCAAATAGGTCTCACTGTTCAGAGGATTCCCTATAAATATTCCAGGGAAACCAGGTCTGATGACAATGTTTGTATGTACCCAATTCCTATGCCAGGAGTGACTCCATGTGTTTGATGTGATCCATCTCCTCTGCTCACTCTAAAAGGGTTGGAAAATGTTGTGTTCGCCAGTGGCGAGGAATGACCAATCTAGCATCGGTCAAACAGTGATGTAGAAGACCATGTTTGACATGCTTAAATGAGCCAGGTAGAAGAGAAAGCAGGACAACCTGTGGAGTGTTTGGGACAGTCAAGCCCATGACAGCACTATAAATTTGCAGTACAATGTACCAGAAAGCATGGATATGGGGACATTCCCACCAAATGTGAAGTAGTGAGCAGAGTGGGGCATTGGTGCCACCTAGTTAGCAGTTTGAAACTAGTCTCTTGCACCTTACTGGCTGGGGAAGACCTATGGGTAAAGGCAAACGATTCTTCAAGTTTTCAACAGACAACTGAACATCGAGGTCCATGGCCCACCTAGAAGTGTATGCCTGGAGGTTGGAATAAACCTAGGAGAGGAAGACCTGATATACTGCTGAGAGTGTGTGGGCGGAGAATCCTGGAGAAGAAGGGATTTCAACGGGTCATGGTCTCTGGTCAATGATTCCTTGTTAGAAAGAGAGTGGGAAAAAGAGCAAAGTGTTGTACATGTTTCCTGGAATAGGATTGGTGATTTTTTAGGTGTACTCAATCCTGACAATTGTTAGTGATCAGGTTTATTACTAGATGAACTGATACCTACAGTATATGCATTGGGTAACACAAAGCTTTGTATATTTCTGAAAATGCTTTTGGAATGAAGTAGTAATAACATCGTCGTCAATGTTTTCTGTTTTTCAGATCATGCTTACATATTCATTTCCGTTTAAAATCAAAGTCCAACCACAACTGTTTTGTTTGTTTTGGATATGTTGGGGAAGGCTTAGACGCTTTGGCAGTCTGTTGTCATCATTGGGAAGAATTCCTCTTACTTGATGTCTTAGTGACCTCGGGAGGAGAAATTAGGGATGGGGGTCCCTGTGACAGGGAGTCAAAGACATAAAAAAAAACATTACAAAGATTCTATCTGTCCCCACATATTAGAAGAATGTTTTCGTTTCTGACCCCATTAAAGAGAATTCCTATTGCTTCCTGTTCCCCTGTCATCAGGACAGGAAATACAAGGAAAGCTCCTCAAGAGGGTCAGAGACAACAGTAATAACTGGCTGGATATTTCACCAAGTTTGTTTTGATTGTTATTATATGGTCAGCCAGCACAAGTGACAAATGCTAATTAGAAAAACCAGAACTGCTTTATGAATGTAATGAGATTGAAGGATAGAACAATTGGAAGTGTTCTTTTTGTTCCTAAATTGCACTTGAAAAATGACAGCTGGAATCAGATTGGCTGGACAGTATCCAGACTTTTCCTTTTCTCTGGTTATAATAAACAAGAATTCCCATATGAAAGAAAAATATATTTGAAAATATATTTTAAAGATACTCTTCCCAAATATATTGACATATATTTGAAATGCTGCAATTTTGGCCATATTCAATATATTTCAAAATATATTTAAATCTATATATATATGTGTGTGTGTGTGTGTGTGTGTGTATATATATATATATATATATATATACTGCATGTTGAAATCTGTTTTTATTACAAAATATATGAAAAATATTTTTGAAAATATATTTCAAATATACTGTATGCCTTTAAAAATACAAATCTACATTTTTGGAATGCATTTACAAATATATATAAAAATATATGTTAAAATTACTTTTTTATATGTTAAAAAAAATCTGAAGATTATATTTAAAAAATATATATTTTTAAAAAATAAATATATATATATTGAAATATATTTTGAAATATATTGAATATGGCCAAAATTGTAGCATTTCAAATAAATGTCAATATATTTGAGAAGAATATTATTAAAATATATTTCAAATATATTTTTCTTTCATGTAGATTTGTAGACAGTTATTTAGTATATTACATTTTATAAGCATCTAAACAAATTGTTGTAAAGATGCATATTAGTAATGATTTATGAAAAAAGTATTCTAGAAGAGCTGGACATTATATCAATGGCAGCGTTTTAGCCAATAAAGAAGCCAATAAAGAAACATGTTTACACTTTCTTTGTTCAGAAATGTTCTTATCCATTTTGTGTAACATCTAGGTGAGATCCTATGAACATGGCGTAGGCTATCAGATGCTGGGAAACGCAGTAACTGTAGCTCTGGCGGTCTTCCCCTTCCTCTTCCACTTATGTCATCAGCGAGACATGGAACAAATTTTTTCAATGACTGGAAAGGAGCTTTTAGCGGTCTTCTGTGGTGCCTCTCCAACCCCGCTGCTATTGATTTTATCAACTATTAACCTGGTGCTGCGCATCTGCCTCTCATGGATGTTTTTCTTCTTGATGTGTGTAGCAGAAAGGACATATAAACAGGTTGGTGTAAAACAATATGCTTGCATTGTATTAGACTGTTATCTGTATCAGCCTTGTGCCATTGATATGTAATTTTCAGAGAATTATAGATCAGTATACTTTTTTTCTGCTCTGCTGTAGATTGCTGAAGAATATTTTGCAGTGTTTCTCAGGGATTTTTCTTAAAGTGGTTGTAAACCTCTCACATGAAATATGAACAAAGCATATCCCTCTTTAGTGTGTACTAAGTGTCATTTATGTCTGCTGCTTCATTCCTCTTGCCTTCCTTGTCCCTTCCCTCCATTCAGCTCTCAGAACTCTCCTAACTGAGCTCTTCAGAGTGTACTTTATGCTTTCCAACTCCTGTTATGTGAAAGCTCAGACAATCTTTATAAATTCAGGACTTTGGATGTAAAGAAGAGAATACTACAGATAAACAGGTACAACTTATGTAGGAGGATTTGTTTCATATCTATGTATCACCTGAGGCCAGTCACTTCACCAGGTATATGCAAGGGTTTACAACCACTTTAAGGAACTATTTAAAAAAATGTGCTGCATCACTTTATTACAAGTGCATCTGCAGTTTTCTCTTAGGGCCCCTAAAACCCCCACAAATGTAGCTCCCTGAGATGGTATGGCAGTGATGTTCAGAGCATTGTTGCCACACTCAGTTACACTGTGCCTGCTTGCATTACAGTGAGATGCGAACAAGTTGCAGAGGGGTGTGGCTATCAGCATTCTCACTGCTGATTCACAAGACTGTAGCTTGTCAATCAGCACCTGGCCACACCCAGTGCTATCCACTGCTTTCTGGATTGACAGCACTAACTCTTTCTGGAACCCTCCTACTGTGAGCTGCAGTGTCTGAGAGGGAGAGTGTATGAGACACAAATGAAGGAGGATTTGGCTCCATCAGGAAAGATAAAGGAAGTTTTAGTTGCTTTAAGGCGCTTTCACATAACTTAGTACCTTTATGACAGGATCACCAGGCATTTATTTTATTTTTTTTAGAGGGGTGCTTAAAACGGAGTTCCACCCAAAAGAGGAAGTTCCGCTTTAAGTCTATGTCCTCCGCTCCCCATTAAGGATTGGCACCTTTGGGGAGTGGGGGGGGGGGGGGGGAGAGCGGGTACCCGAATTTTACAGGTACCTGCTCCCACTTCCGCTGCGATCGCCTAAGGTGATCAGAAGTGGACGTTGTCCTCCCCCCTCCCTCCCCGCAGTCTTATGACAGGTCCCAGAAGACAACAGGGCCATTCACAAAGCGCAGTGCTTCTTGCGCATGCACATTGGGCACCCGGCTGTGAAGCCGCAGGCTGTCACAGCCAGGTGCCCACACTAAAGATGCAGGCGCCAGGGAGAGAAGACGGCTGGTAAAACCAGCCGTGTTGAGGACACCACTGGACCGAGGGACAGGTAAGTGGCTGTACTTCAAAAGTCAGCAGCTTCAATATTTGTAGCTGCTGACTTTTTTTTTTCAGCTGGAACTCAACTTTAAATAACGTTGACAATTTGTGTAGTGCCTTACATATATACAGTGGGGATCGAAAGTTTGGGCACCCCAGCTAAAAATTTGTATTAATGTGCATAAAGAAGCCAAGGAAAGATGGAAAAATCTCCAAAAGGCATCAAATTACAGATTAGACATTCTTATAATATGTCAACAAAAGTTAGATTTTATTTCCATCATTTACACTTTCAAAATAACAGAAAACAAAAAAATGGCGTCTGCAAAAGTTTGGGCACCCTGCAGAGTTAATATCTTGTACTGCCCCCTTTGGCAAGTATCACAGCTTGTAAACGCTTTTTGTAGCCAGCCAAGAGTCTTTCAATTCTTGTTTGAGGTATCTTTGCCCATTCTTCCTTACAAAAGTCTTCCAGTTCTTTGAGATTTCTGGGGCTGTCTGTCACACACTGCTCTTTTAAGATCTATCCATAGATTTTCAATTATGTTGAGGTCAGGAGATTGTGAAGGCCATGGCAAAACCTTCAGTTTACGCCTCTTGATGTAATCCCCCGTGAATTTTGAGGTGTGTTTAGGATCATTATCCATTTGTAGAAGCCATCCTCTCTTTAACTTCAGCTTTTTCACAGATGGCATCAAGTTACCATCCAAAATTTGCTGAACTTTTATTGAATCCATTTTTCCTTCTACTCGTGAGATGTTCCCTGTGCCACTGGCTGCAACACAACCCCAAAGCATGATTGATCCAACCCCATGCTTAACAGTTGGACAGAGGTTCTTTTCATTAAATTCTGTGCCCCTTCTTCTCCAAACGTACCTTTGCTCATTCCGGCCAAAAAGTTCAATTTTAACCTCATCGGTCCACAGAACTTGTTTCCAAAATGCATCAGGCTTGTCTATATGTTCATTTGCAAAGTTCAAACGATGATTTTTGTGGTGAGGACGTAGAAGAGGTTTTCTTCTGATGACTCTTCCATGAAGACCAAGTTTGTACAAGTATCTCTTTATAGTGGAATAGTGTACCACAACTCCAGTGTCTGCCAGATCTTTCTGGAGGGATCGTGCAGTCAAACGTGGGTTTTGAATTGTTTTTCTCACAATCCTGCGAGCTGTTCTGTCTGATATTTTTCTTGGTCTTCCAGATCTTGCTTTAACTTCCACTGTTCCTGATGACTGCCATTTCTTAATTACATTCCGAACAGAGGATATTGACATCTGAAAACGCTTTGCTATCTTCTTATAGCCTTCTCCAGCTTTGTGAGCATCAACTATTTTCAGTTTCAGTTTTCTAGACAACTGCTTAGAAGAACCCATGGTGCTGATTGTTTGGGGCAAGGTCAGATGAGTCTGGGCATTTAAAACCTTTGAGATTGACATAACCTGGTCTTCCCAGACGATGATTGAGAACAATCCATGACACTGGCAGGTCTCAGCTTGGCAAAGGGGGCAGTACAAGATATTAACTCTGCAGGGTGCCCAAACTTTTGCAGACGCCATTTTTTTGTTTTCTGTTATTTTGAAAGTGTAAATGATGGAAATAAAATCTAACTTTTGTTGACATATTATAAGAATGTCTAATCTGTAATGTGATGCCTTTTGGAGATTTTTCCATCTTTCCTTGGCTTCTTTATGCACAATAATACAAATTTTTAGCTGGGGTGCCCAAACTTTCGATCCCCACTGTATATATATATATATATATATATATATATATATATATCGATATCTTTATATATATTGTGGCAAAGGGTCCCCCCAGCCATGGTTTAAAATGATGTTTTATGCCAGATATTGTAAGAAGTAAGCACATTAATGGCATAGGTGTGTGCGGCACAGGGAGAACATGCAAACTCCAGGCAGGTGATGCCTTGGCTGGGATTCAAACTGACGACCCTAGTACTGCCCTGCAGAAGTGCTAACCACTTAGTCACTATGCTACTCATAATTTTAATAAAAGCTGCAGATTTCACAAAATTGAAGATGACTTTTGAAATTACATTAATGTGTTAAATCTTGTCTGAAATTTTAATGATTGGGTTTACATATACTTTAAAGAGATCCTGCCTGAGAACTTTTACATTTGGAATGATGAATGTTTTATATTCATGTTAGAGATTTGTTACATTCATTTCAAGAGTTAACTTAGGAAATAGAAGAGGCCAACATCCCCTGACTGCTCAGCTGTAGTATAGGATTCAGAAGCAATGCAAAAGTAGGTCACTTGCTGGATTTCCGGTAGTGAAAACTGGTGCATCTGGGGCCCTGTATTTTCCTGTAATGCATTATATATTTTTTCTGTGCATGCTCTCCTGAACTGTCATTTACTTTTGAATTACCGTATTTTCCGGCGTATAAGACGACTTTTTACCCCTTGAAAATCCTCTCAAAAGTCGGGGGTCGTCTTATACGCCGGTATACGGCATACTGACACTTTTAGGGGGGCGGCACGGTGCCGCCGCCGCCCCCCCCTTCCAACGGAAGGGACACTAAGTACAGGGGCGGGTAGGAGCTGCTGTTTCTTACCTGGATCCGGTCCCACGACGATCCGGTCCAGGAAGCGCAGCTGCTCCTTCAGTTTGGTCACTGGATGTTAGCGCGGCTGCTCGGCTCCGCCTCCTCACCGGTGATTGGCCGCCAGAACTGTAGCTCAGGAAAGGAATACAGGCGGCCAATCACCGGCGAGGGGGCAGAACTGAGCGGCCCCGCGAAAATCAAGTGAAGGAGCGGCCGGTAAGTGTGCAGTGTAGAGGGCTGCTGCAACCACATATGCTGGCTGCAGCAGCACCATACTAGAACATCGGTCAGCAAGTGTAATTGGTGTCAGTGGGAGGAATAGTGCCCCATCATTGGTGTCACTGATACTAATGATGGGGCATTATTCCTCCCACTGACACCAACGATGGGGCACTATTCCTACCCCCCACTGACACCAACGATGGGGCACTATTCCTCCCCCCCCCCACTGACACCAATGATGGGGCACTATTCCACCCCCCACTGACACCAGTGATGGGGCACTATTCCACCCCCCACTGACACCAATGATGGGACATTATTCCTCCCACTAACACCAATGTTGGGGCACTATTCCTCCCACTGACACCAAAGATGGGGCACTATTCCTCCCACTGATACTAATGATGGGGCACGATTCCCCCCACTGACACCAAAGATGGGGCACTATTCCTCCCACTTATACTAATGATAGGGCACTATTCCTGCCACTGATACCAATGATGGGGCATGATTCCTCTCACTGACACCAATGATGGGGTGCTATTCCTCCCACTGACACCAATGATGGGGTGCTATTCCTCCCACTAATACCAATGATGGGGCACTATTCCTTCCACTAATACCAATGATGAGGCACTATTCCTCCCACTAATACAATGATGTGGCACTATTCCTCCCACTGACACCAAAGATGGGGCACTATTCCTCCCACTGATACTAATGATGGGGCACGATTCCCCCCACTGACACCAAAGATGGGGCACTATTCCTCCCACTGATACTAATGATAGGGCACTATTCTTGCAACTGATACCAATGATGGGGCACGATTCCTCTCACTGACACCAATGATGGGGTGCTATTCCTCCCACTGACACCAATGATGGGGTGCTATTCCTCCCACTGACACCAATGATGAGGCACAATTTGTCGCTCTGACACCAATGATGGGGCACTATTCCTCCCACTAATACCAATGATGGGGCACTATTCCTTCCACTAATACCAATGATGAGGCACTATTCCTCCCACTAATACAATGATGGGGCACTATTCCTCCCACTGACACCAATGATGGGGCACTATTCCTCCCACTGACACCGATGATGGGGCACTATTCCTCCCACTGGTGTGCATTGGAAGAGGGGTAGTCTTATACGGCGAGTACAGCCCAAACACTACATTTTAGCAGGAAAAGTAGGGGGGTCGTCTTATACGCCGGAAAATACGGTAGATATAATCTAATATTCTACTATTTTATAACTGTAGCAGCGTGCTTATCTACACACTATGCTCAGATTTAGGCACATGCCCCCTTATTTCATTCATTTCCATTTCCCACAACCAGGTGTGGACTGAAAACTCATGGGGCCCCCGGGCAATAAGAGATCATGGGGCCCCGTGTGTCCCCGCCCACACTCAAGCCACACCCACACAAAGCTCAGTGCTGAGAAACAAAAAATGCCCTGGTGCTATTCCCTATATAAAACACTGCTATCTAAACACTGAGTTGCACTCAGTAGACAGATGTCAGTGATATATATATATATATATATATATATATATATATTTATATATATATGGAATGGCACTCAGTGTACAGATATCATTGTTATATATAGGGAATAACATTAAGTGTACACGTATCAGTGTTACGTATAGGGAATAGCAGTCAGTGTACAAATATCAGTTGTTAGATAACACCGAGGTCCGTACACTGCATGCTATTCCCTATATAAAACACTGATATCTGAAAACTGAGTGTACTCTTGGGTTGTACCCAGGGCTGTCTTTAATATTGATTGGACCCTGCGCAAAATTTTCTTGGGCCCCCCTCCGCTATTCAATTTCGTTCTCCACCCCAACATCCCAAAAAACAAACAAACACATAAACTTATCTCAAAAAACTTTAATAACGTAAACATAAAAAACTGTTCCACACTCACTGATTGGTTGAGGCTCACCAATTGGTTGCTAGAGGTTACTGCACATCATTGCCACTCACTGATTGGTTGCTATAGGTTACTGTGCATCATTACTGATTACTAATTGGTTGCTATAGTCTACTGTGCATCATTACCACTGGTCTCTCTAACTGGTCCTTTCTGCAGCCAGGAGGTGAGGGGGGAAGACAGAGGGTGGTGAGCTAGGTTTATTACTTATAGCCAGGGCTTTTTTCTCAGAACAGGTGAAGTAACTCACCCTCCCTGGCCAACTCCTTACCCCCAACCTTGACGCTCCTTGCGGAGAGATCTAGAGCAGCACCTAAAAAATCTGCGCATTGCACAAGAGGTACAGAGTACCACACCCAGTATTGCATAACACATTGGGCTCAGGAGTGCGTACTGTGCAGTGCTGAGGTGTGTGTATCACACAAGGCACAGAATACAATCAGCACAAGGGGCAGTACTCACATATCCCCTCGCAAATTAACCATCTATTGATCACCACTGCCCCATCCACAGTTCACCTCATTGACAAATCAGAACTAAATTCTGCACCCCTGTCCACAGTTAACTTTAGCACCCCCCATCCACAACTCATCTTTGTACCTCCTGTGAATAACTCAACTCTTCCCCCTATCTTACACAACCTGCCCTCCTCCCTGTCAGTGTTCTCACCTCTTCGCAAATTCTCCCCCCCTTCGGTGCTCTCACCTCTTAGCAAATCTCCCCCATTCAGTGCTTTCACCTCTTCGCAATCCACTGTCAGGTCTTTCATGCAGGCAATACTCCAGTTCCAGTGGGGTGTCCCTTCGTCCCTTTGTACCCTTCCAGCCATTCATATGCATTAGCTACCCTGGACTTCACTGAAAGGGATGCTGTTTATGAGGATGATTTCAAGTGGCTGTGTTCTGTACTGCTTTACTGAAGTATCCGATTCACAGCTTGAACCTTATAGATACCATGTTATGAAGCCACATTACCCTGATTGAGTCACAGAAGAATCCATAGATTTGTGTAGGTTTTATAATCTGTTTTGTATTATTCTTCAACGAATGCATACATTTTGCCATCCTTAACTGCATTGTGCATTATTGCATCTATTTAGTAAACTGCAAGCTACAGTTACCCTCATCTGCTCATTTGACCAATTACCTTTTCTGTTAAATAATGATGCCATTGCTTTTATTTCTCTTCTCTGAAGTATACATGCTCTCATGCTGCACTTTTACTGTATTTTATGAGCTTAATGACTCTCGTCGGCCCTACTCTGCTTATGAATACCTGTACATTACTAATCAATAGCTGGAATGAAGGCCTGGCTAATTAGTCCCAGTTAGTGAACATGTTTAAAATTCCATTGTGTTTAATTTTTAAATGTTAAAGCGCTAGAGGATGATTGCACAGTACAGAGTGTAACAGCAAGAAAATGCACTCGATTGTGCCTATAAGCTTTTCATTTTATTTTTAGTCTACTTTAGGTCCAATGCACGTGAACTTGGAGTACACGGCATTCAGATTTGTAATTCATATGGGTCTGAATGCAACAATATTGTACAACCCCAATTCCAAAAAAGTTGGAACACTGTGTAAAATCTGCATAAAAATAGAATGCAATGATTCTGTTATTATGCAAATCTCACAAACCTATATTTTATTCACAATAGAAAATAGAAAACATATTAAATGTTTAAAAAATAGTAACATTTTCATAAAAAAAAAAACGTGACTGAAATTGATGGCAGCAAAAAAGTTGGGACAGGGCCATGTTTACCAGAGGAATGTTGTCCCATTGTTGCCTGATATAGGATTCTAACTGCTTAACAGTTCAGGGTCTTCTTTGTTGTATTTTTCATTTTAAGTTGTGCCAAATAGTTGGTGAAAGTTCTGGACTGGCAGGCAGGCAGGCCAGTTAAGCACCCAGACTATTCTACTACAAAGTCATGCTGTTGTCATAGATGCAGTATACGGTTTAGCATTGTCCTGTTGAAATATTAAAGACCTGTCCTGAAAAAGGTGTTGTGTGGATGGGATCATAGGCTGCTCTAAAACCTGAATCTATGTTTCAGTATTATTGCTGCCTTTCCAGATGTGCAACCTGCCCATTACATATGCACTAATCTACCTCCATACCATCAGAGGTGCAGGCTTGTAAGTTCTCCTCATTGGGGACCAAGTGTGGGTCGTCACATAAGAGGACTACCCCTGAGGTGAGTTCTTCTAGGTTACGCTAGGCACCTTGGATGGGTCACTCACCTTGCACAGAGGGTACCTTTACTTGTGCCAAGCTCATCAATGCCCCGGGAAAAGGCAAAGGCCGCTTTCAGTCATAGCTAAACTTTAACCACCTCCCACCCGCCATATAGTCCAATGACGGGCGCAAGATGGTTTTCTCGTTCTGGGTGGATGTCATATAACGTCCTCCCATTCTCACCGTGCATGCGTGGCTCAGGGAGCGCGCAGCGTGGCGAATAGCGGTGCGCTGTGTCCCTCGGACACAGCGGATCACCGATCTACGGCTCGGTCATGTGATCAGCTGTGTCCTATCACAGCTGATCACATGTAAACAGGGAAATGCCAGTTATCAGCATTTCTCTCCTCACGAGCTGTCACGCTGATGATCAGTGTGCCCTGATGATCAGTGTGGCCCCAGAAGTGCCACCTGTCAGTGTCCATCAGTGCCAGCTGCCAGTGCTGAACAGTGCCAGGTGCCAGTGCCACATCAATGCCACATATCAGTGCCTACCAGTGCACATCAATGCCACATATCAGTGTCCATCTGAGCTGCCTTTCATTGCCACCCATCAGTGCCAGTCAGTGCCACCTATCAATGCCAATCAGTGCCACTTATCAGTGCTGCCAATCAGTGCCAGTCAGTGCCGGTCAGTGCTGCCTATCAGTGCCAGTCAGTGCTGCCTATCAGTGCCAGTCAGTGCCGCCTATCAGTGTGCATCAGTGCCGCCTATCAGTGCCCGTCAGTGCCTCCTATCAGTGCCAGTCAGTGCCGCCTAAGTGCCAGTCAGTGTCACCTAACAGTGCCAGTCAGTGCCGCCTATCAGTGCCACCTATCAGTGCCATATATCAGTGCTGCCTTTCAATGCCCATCAGTGCCACCTACCAGTGCCTTCTCATCAGTGCCACCTATCAGTGTCCATCAGTGCTGCCTATCAGTGCCCATCACTGCAGCCTCATTAGCGCACATCAGTGAAGGAGAAAAATCACTTATTTACAAAATTTTACAACAAAAACTAAGAAAAAACATTTTTTTTCAAACATTTCAGCGGTTTTTGGTTTGTTTAAGAAAAAATAAAACACCCAGAGGTGATTTAATACCACCAAAATAAATCTCTATCTGTCTCAAAAAAAGAAAAACATTTCATATGGGTACAGTGTTGCATGAATGCGCAATTGTCATTCAAAGTGTGACAGCGCTGAAAGCTGGAAATTGGCCTGGGCAGGAAGGGGGTATAAGTGCCCTGTAGGCAAGCGGTTAAGGGAGACCTCCAACTTGGTGATGGCCATACATTGTGTATATTGAGCAATAAATTGGACTCCAGTTAACTCTCCCTTGTTTCCTAGTCAATGCACAACTTCACTGTCAGTTGCAATTAGGAGGGGTATGCTGATCCTTTACCCACGCCACCTGTGCAGCGTATCTTTGCTACCTCACTCCCAGTAAGGGAATGGAGTCCTTCGAACACCCTGTGCAGACTGTATGCATGGTCTGTTAACTGTTTTTCTTCTGTACCTATGACCAACCTCTGCAGTGCTGATCTGATCCCATTGCTATGGGAGACGGACCACTCGGAGAGAGAGTTCCAACAACAACTCCCTCATTGCTAGAGGACATCCCACCTGTCACAGGTACATGCTTCACAACA